TATATATATATATATATATATATATATATATATATACATGTTTTTATAAACACCACCTAAAAGTAAAGTGAGGCAAAAAGAACAAACATCTAAGGACATTAAAAACTGATTTAGAGGGAAGAACTTATAACAATCTTATTTACTTTTCTACAAACCAACATAATGCAGAAGATGCCGGCTCCTTTGAAGATGTCATTCTCTTATTTTCTCTAGAGGCCATGTTGATGGCGCTCTTATCTCTGACGCACACTTTGCATCTGTTATCTGGCAATTATCATATAATTAGTCAACAGCTGTTTGGTCTAACCTCGTTTTAATTAGAGCCTTTGAATCTCCTGTTGTTAAACTCATCGATGAATTTAAATCAAACAAAGATAAAGTCCTGTTGGAGGCATTCCAGTCAAACCTTGGCGGTTTGGCTTCAGTTCTGTATTTCCTGCGCAGTATTACGACAAATGTGCGCAAGTTTGATGCCATTGCGCCGCTTAATCTAATTCCGATGAGCCAGGGGCCAAAGTGTCCCTGGCAGGGGCCTGTTAACCGAATTGGAGACATTTATTTCCTAAGTGTTCGTGGATCGGCGCGAGACATGAGATGTGTTAAAATCCTCATAAAACATCAAACGGTTCGAGAAAGGAGCCGACGGGCCCCAAACAGTTAGAAATACTTTTAAACATATTTAGTTTTTTTTACTGGATGCGTGAATTCTATCAGATGAAACATATTGTGGGATTCATGAAGGGAATAAAATGTGTTGAATTTAAACTGGAATGGCGACTTTCCTGAAACAATCACCGATAAGACGCCCTAAAAGGAACAGCGGAGAGCTTTGATGGGATTTGCTGCCAGTGAAAGCTGTTGGGCTTTAGAGCAGAGCTGTCAGTCAATACCACTGGGACCTCCCCCCCCCCTCCTAGGGTCTCCTTTGTGTATATAAATAGAGCCTGGAGTCTGGAGTCCCACACAGACGGAACTGCTGGTAATCAGGGAAAAATGCCCGCATCTCCTGCTGGATTTGGAAACTTCTTCCTGGAGAGGAACCTCGTAATGCCTCCTGGATACCAGGTCCCGGTGCTGGGGCCCCCATCGGCCCTACAGCAGCAGCAGCATCTGGCTGCGATGGCAGCTGGAGTTCCCATTTCATTCTCAGGACTGCAGGGATACAACTTCATCCCATATCCACACCACAGGCACATCGCGCACACGGTGAGTCACACTAAGAAAAGATGTTTAAAACAACAAATGCTTTTGTTTTAAACATATTTTTAGAAATTTTTGCTTTAAATGTACAAAAAAAAGCTCCCAACCGAGGCACGCGCTTAGAATAAACGATTGTTGACCTTTAACCAAAGTTCTATGTATGGCAAGCAATTAGCGCATTTATTTTCGCTCTGATTGAAGCAAAAATAGTAAAATAGTAGTTTTAATATGTTAGGATGCAGTGAAAATAATCAAAATAACTCCGTAATATACGGGAGCTTAAAAGCAAAAAATAATATTTGTTAAACTCTTTATACGAAATATTGTATTTCTTTCCAAAATGTATTGTATTTAATAGAAATTGTATAAAAATGTCTCAATTTAAAGGTCAGGATGATGCAAAAGTCCATAAAGATATCAATGAAACAGTGTTTTGATTTTATGATGACTAAATTTTTAAAATATTTTTCTACCTGTTTCTTCACCAAACTGGTTGGCTAAGTGCATTGTTTTTTTTTACTTTATATTTTATAATCTTTTAAATTCATTCGTTTTATAAGGTGCATTCTTTTCAAATTTGGCCTCACAGATCAAATTATCTTCACAACTGGGGGGCTTTTCTCTGAAGTGAGGTTGAAGACACATTTCTATTGGTCCACTGGAAATTAGCAATAGCAACTTCTATAGGTTAAGAGAAAAAATTTCAGCTTGAAGTGAAGAGAACGTGGTCTGTAAAAATACAATTTTGAGAAGACTACAGTTTGCAAAACGCCCTCTGAAAAAGAAACATTTGGGAAAAAAAACATTTGAAAATATAAAATCTATAAAAAAAAATCTTTCAAAATGTAAAAGAAAAATTGAAAATCCTGTTTTGATCAATAGTTTTTTTTTTAAGTTTCCTTTCTGAATTAAAAATTCAAATTAAAGATTCCATTTCCAAAATGTGTTATTTCTTTGGAAGAATAATGGAACAAAATTCCCTCCATAGAATTTAGGTTTTGTTTAAAGCCTTTACAAGTGGTTACTGGGGAATCAAATTTCAGACACAAGAACCTGAAACTTTGATGTTTTTAAACTTGTTCTGTCTAAAGTTCCGTGGTTTTAAGATTATAGGCCCTTATCATTGCCTCCATGTTCTTTGGTTTGTTCTCATCCTTCTCCTTTCTGTCTTGCAGAGCAGTGGCTTTGACCTGAAGCCCACCTCTCCTTATCATCACGCCCTCCTGGCCCGCGGCGGCGTCCTCTACCCACCCTACCGTGCCGGCGCTGCCGAGGAACTCGGCAGGGTTGCCAAGGTTGCCACCCGGGAAAGCACGGGCGCGCTAAAAGCCTGGCTGAACGAGCACCTGAAGAACCCATACCCAACCAAGGGGGAGAAAATCATGCTGGCCATCATCACCAAGATGAGTCTGACGCAGGTTTCCACCTGGTTCGCTAACGCCAGGCGGCGCCTTAAGAAAGAGAACAGGGTCAGCTGGGCATCCAAGGGCAAATCGGACGAAGAAGATGAGGAACAGGAGGGTGAGAGTGACGAAGAGGAGGGTGCTGCACAGAAGTGCAATTTGGAGGAGCAAGATGATGATGCAGACCATCAGAGAGAGCATGAAGCCGCAGATGAGCCAGAGCCGGAGAGCTCGCCGGCTGCGGAGGAGCGACTGGAGGTGCAGGAAGTCGGACCAGAACAGAAGGTTGAAAGCAACGATGCTGACCAAACATCCTCCGCTTCAGAAAGCAAAGAGAACAACGTCAGCCAGAAACCCAAAATCTGGTCTTTGGCAGAAACCGCCACCTCAGAGACATCAAAGAAACCTGTGGACAGTTTTTACCACCCTGCTGGGAAACTGTGGGCGGACTGGGCCTCACGAAGCGGACTGTTTGTTCCCACTTATTACGCCACGCATGAAATAGTTTGAGCTAATAAAATAAACAGCAACTTTTTAAAAACAAACTTTTGCACTTTAAACCTTCAGACCTCACAGACTTCCTGAAGTTTTTTTTAAGAAATGCGAATCTGTTGGGGGACCAAAGAATAGGGATGTTTCCTTACTGTAAATAATTCTAGATGTATTTTTCCACCTGGATGATGTAAATTATATTTCCTTTGTCTAACCAGAAAGAGGTATTTTGTTAAAATAAACGTTGGCTTCTTCTATACTTACGTTGTCTTTATTGCTCTAATATATGGAATAAATTTTGGTCCATTATCAGTGCTGGAAGAGAAGATTAAATTGTGTAAAAAATAAAAAAACTTTGAAAAACATTCATAAAAACAAAAATACGGTTTTGAAAGTAACTTTTCAATTTTACCAGATTTTATCTCTCAAAATATCTTCGTTTAAAATAATTTTTGTTCTTACTTTGTTTTTTTTTAAATCATGTAATTTTTTTTAGATGTATAATATTTTATATTTTCAAACTTTATTTAAATAAATAAATACTTTTTTTTTTTTTAATTAGCTTGCTCTAATATATGGAATAAATTTTGTTCCATTATCAGTGCTGGGAGAGAAGAATATTGTGTTAAAAACTTTGAAAAACATTCATGAAACAAAAATACGGTTTTGAAAGTAACTTTTCTATTTTATTAGATTTTATCTCTCAAAATATCTTTGTTCAAAATAATTTTTGTTCTTATTTTATTGTTTTTTTCTTAAATCACATTTGACATGCATAATATTTTATCTTTTTAAACTTTAGTTAATTAAATAAATACTTTTTTAATAATTAGCTTTCTGGTTGCGTTTCAGGTCGAGTTTTATGAGTTACATTTTTTTAGATTGCGTTCTACCGATCAGATTCTCTTCATTTCAGGGCGGGCTTTCCTCTGAAATGAGGCGTAAAGAAGCATTTCTATTGGTCTGCTACATTAGCGACGGCATTGTTATTAGTCAAGACTGAGCGTCAGTATTATAGCGTTTAAATTAAAGGGGCTGTGGTCTATAAAACGTGATTTGAAAAGAAAGCAGTTTGTAAAATTCATTCTGAAAAAATATGTAAAAGACATTAAAAAGTGCTAAAATTTAAAAATGTTAAATCCATAAAATAAAGCTGAAAAAAGAAATAAAAGTGATTCGAAAAAAAAATAATGAAATACCACCATAATCATTATTTGATTAACATTTTTTTCTTTTAGTATAATTTCTGGATATAATATTTTTTTAAGTTCAGTTTCCAAAACATATTCTTTGTTTTCAAAATAATGGAACAAAATTAACTCCATACTCCAAGATCAAAGTTTTCTAAATCCTGAGATCAGTTGTTTTCTCTGAAAGCTTAAAAAATCTGACACAAACATCCTGTATATCATTTTCTAACAAAACCCTTTTAGAGTTTTTTTAGTCTAAGATAATATATCTATTATCGTACTGAAAAGGATAAGAGTTGTTTGCCAAAAAATAACGTAAGAAAATAAGGAAACTGTGACTCACTTACCAAACATTTACCACTTTTATAATATATTTTTAAAAAACACATAAACTTTAATGCTTTTCACATTTGTCACAGTATACAAGCAGGATGAATGGTTTATTAATTGTCTATTAAACAATGTTACATTATTACATAGATAAATTACATCCATAATGTAGTATTTAAATCAAATGTATTTCCACCTGGATGTCAAAATCAGGCTATATAAGCTGAGGTCAGAAGAATACGCAAAAATTGTACTCAAGTAAAAGTAACACAAATTTTTTCACTCATTCAAAGATAAAAAGTGGTTATCCAAAACATTATGCAAGAATGAAAAAAAGCATATAGTAAAAAAAAAAAAGACTACGGAAGTAGAAAGTAGCTTTTTGATCATCACATCTTACTTTAGGTGCAATATCTGGCATTTTAAAGACTAAAATACATTAAAAAACACAGATAAAGGATATGATTACAAAGTAAACAATCTCCTGCTTTGACATAAAACTTACAAAATCAAATCTTACTTTGAATAATGTATGTATCTTAGAACAGAGTAAAAAACGGGAGAGTTTACTGATTTCTGAAGGGCTTTATTTTTCACAGTGGACAGAGTAACTAAAACATTTACTCACAAAGGAGTAATGATACTTCACAAAAAATATTACTTATGTAAAAGTAAAAACTACTTTACAGTACAATTACTCCTATAAGTACAATGTTTAAAAAAAAAATTGCAGTTATTTTTGTGTGTGTATGTAGTACATTTTAAATAAAAAAAAGGGAACTATAAAATAGTTGTACAGCTATTTTCAGTGTGACTCTTTAAAGAAATAGCATTTTGAAGATGAACTTTTTTTACTCCAACCATGTAAAAACAGAATTTTAGATGTGTTTGATGCCAACTACTTTCTTTTCCATCTGATACTGAGCTGAATAGAGGCTGGTATCGGTGATACTGAGCCGATACTTTGTGCAAATACACCTGATATGTCTGTGAAATGCATAAAATAATTTAGTGTTTTATCACACTGGGTCGGTCCAGTTGAAATTTCTACTCAAATATCTAATTAAATGAATAAACGTCTCAATTATTGTATAAAACTGGAATATGACTGAACAGTTATAGCAAATTGAACAGTGAATAATAATACATGTATTTTATAAAATCATTATGTTCCTACCAGGCGGGAAAAAAGTAGTTCCTATCAAAACCATGAATTTAGGCAATTTTGATATAAAAAATATTGGTATTCTTGGATTTAAGAATTGATTGTTCTGTAATTTGAGGTATTGATATTTTAGTATCGATGCAAACTTAAATCGTTTTTAGTGTCAATATGTGAAGAGCAGGTGAATAAAATCCAGGAAATCAGGAAATGTAGACTATGTGTTTCAACATGTTTGTCCAGCAGAACCCAAGGTTTCTGGATCGGACTGAGATCTGAGGAGTTTGGAGGTAAAAATCAACACTTCAACTTTTTCTGCTCTGCAAACTATTTCTCAAACTATTTGTCCTTGTTTCATAGAGGAATAATTTGCTTTCATAATTGACCTGGAAACACTTTAAAATCCTGTAAATGATCTGCAGTGACACTGGTTTGGAAGGTATAATCTGAACGGATGACAGGACCAACATCAGTGAAAAACTCAGAACCTCCTCTGCCAGCTTACTGTCTCACTATGACACAAAGTCAGTGATTTTTTTTATTTTATTGCATCATAGTTTAGGTCTTCCACTCATTTTTATTTTGAATTTAAGTGATTTTTTCCCCTAAAATACATGTATTTTTCAAGATCATTTTCCAAAGGAATAAGGTCATGTATGTTTAAAATAATAAAAAAAAGAAGTACATTATCTTATATCAAGTTAATAATATCGACATTTGGCTTCTTTTTGTCTCTTTACCTCTGGGGGCGTGTTTGCCACTGAAAGGGGATTGAAGATAAATTTCTTTGGTCTGCATGGTCGTAAGCAATAGCATTTTTAAAGAGCAATATTTCGCGTTTGTATCGGACTTAAAATTAAGATATGATCTGTACAGAATGATATTTGTTAAACTCAATCTAAATAAGGGAAGTAATAATATAAAACTAAATAAAATTTGTAAAAAAAAAAACGTTATATAGTTGAAAATATATGATATAAAAAATAGAAAATATAAATATGAATGAAAAAAAAAACTATAAAAAATGAAAAAAGATTAAAAAAAATAAAGTTGAGAAAATAACAGTTTCTCAGAAAACCTTTTTTTTAATGAACATGTTTTTTTTAAGTTTATAGTTAAATATAATAGGAATTATATATATATATATATATATACATTTTCCCATGAGACTGGGTTGATATATATATATATATATATATATAATATTTTTGTATTTAATTAACTTATTGTATATTTTATAATCTTATGGTATATTTACTGCAGAATTTGGATCAATATAAATCAAATTTACCATCTAAAATGTCATATCTACATATTTCCTGAATATTTCCAAAAACATTTTAATGGATTTTTTCCTCCATATATCTCAGTGATCATATCACAATGTATATGAAAATCATCTAATATTTCCCTCCTATTAAGGTGGTATCATAAAGTGTGAATTAATTCCCAATTTAGTTCATTTGTAGTGGCAGCTCTGACTAACAGCGAAGCATTTGCGCCACCTGGTGGATAAAATAAGAAACTACCAAAGAGAGCCCTTTACTTATCTGTAAGAGAGTTGGACTCCCATTAAATGCTAACTATTGTAGATTTGAAGACTTTTCCCTTCTGTGTCACAATTTGAAGGCAGAGGAAGACCATCAGGAGATATCTGGGGTCACAATTTCTGTGTTATAGAGTAACTTTTTAATAATAAATGTACTTTTACGAATAGTTTCATTGCACCATACTTTTACTTTTACTAAAGGGATAAAAGAAAGTCCACATTCTTAACTTGAGTAAAATGTGTGGCTGTTTTACTCAGTTTAACTTTACTAAAGAAAGCACATTTAAACCTGAAATCCACCGTCAGACAGCTTAAAGTTCACTAAATGTAGTTTTCTCTTTTGTGCACATTATGTTCTTTTAATGTTCTAATCTGCTAAGACATCCATGACATTGAGGTCAAGATAATATAAGATAATAATAAAACAACAGTATATATTGTCATTGTTCTGTCATGCATACCTTACATACTTTAAGAAATGGTTTCATATGTTTTATGAATATATAGGTTGTATATATGTATATGTATACAGGCTATATATATGTATATGTATATCTATATATGTATCTATCTATAGAGATATATATAGGTTTTGAGAGGTGTTTCTTCTGTCTGAAGTCTTTTTTTCAATATTGTTTTATTTGTTTTCATTCATTTCTTTTTATAAAAAAAAAGGATGCATAACTTTATATAATGGTTTGTCTAATTTATGTCATTTTAAATGTAAAACAGTTACTCACTACTTTTTTTTTTTTTTCAAGTACGTTTATTACTCCAGTAGAAATATGTTGGAAGTGGTGCTACTTTTTCTTCAGCACATTTTCTTTTCATTACACTCTAGATGTGAGTACCCAAGGAAAATGTACTCAAGTAAAAGTAGCACCACTTCCAACATATTTCTACAAAGCAACAATTATTATTATCATCACATGCATTTATTGAGTGGGGAAAAGAAATATCCTCAAATGAGATAAGTGGTTGGTTTTTATCATGCAATAGTTATTTAGAGAACAGTAATTTTGCAGAAATAATAGT